TACACAATCGCTTGAGCGATGTCAGCTCTCGTTTAAGCGATCTAATATAAATAAGTCGTGATCGCTTAAGCGACCAAGGCCAATTTACTTCTTTTCTCCTCAATCTTTTGATATTGTGAACGTTTGAGTAAGAAATTATATTCCGTAATGTGGAATGAGTGAGAAACTATATCCTTCTCAAATACATATTTGTGAAATGAGGTACATTTCTACTAACGTCTCACACTAGTGTGCTATGACATTTCTCCATGTATCATAGGGTTGTTAGTCATATATCGTAACTATTATATTTTGATGTTGTGAACATCCGAGGTTTAAATTAACAGTAATAATCTTCTTAAATGGCCTTAATATGTGTTGATGGAATTAGGTTGTCAAATAATCCTCCATAAATGGCTTTAATATGTGTTAATAATCGATGTCGCTTAAGCAATCAAGGATAATTTGCTTCTTTTCTCCCGAATCTTGTGATTTTGTGAATGTCCCAAGTTAACATTAATGTTTCTTAATATGGGGTTGTCAAATAATCAATATAAAAAACAAGATTGCTTAAGCGATGCATCTCTCATTTAAGCGATCCAATATATATAAGTCTTGATCGCTTATGCGATAGCCCACATCACTTAAGCGACCAAAGCTAATTTGTGTCTAAATTAGTGATGGAAAAGCAACCTGCCCGGCCCGCGGTAGGTTGCTGCAAATGGCGGGTCGGTCCTGACCCGCCCGGTGACATTGGCGGGCCGGGTTAGGCCCGCCAATATTAGAGAATTGGCTGGCCCAACCCAGACCGCCAACCCTAACCTGCCGGGTTGGGCGCGGGTTGGGCCAGGTTAACTCGCTTTTTGATTTTATTTTATTTTTTTAATTTTGTTTTGTTTTATTTTATTTAAGTTTAAATGTTTAATTAACTTTTGAAATGAATAATTAACAATTTATAAATGTAATTGTTTTTAGTTAATTGTTAATTTCTTTTCAAATATCAATAATTAAATTAAATTAATTCTTTTTTGTTAACATTCCAAATATTAATTCAATTTTAATACATTAAAATTGTAATATAAGAATAATTAAATTTATTCATTTATTAAAAAATAAAATAAGAAATTACAATAATTATTGCCTCGTTAAAAACCTCACCAAGAAAAACCCAATAGGATAAAAACTTGGTAAGGAAAAAAGAGTGCAATAATTGACAATTAATTTACAAGTTACAATTTACAAAACAACTAATTTTGGGGTTCACTAGGACCTCCCTCATCCGTATCATTTATATTACAAAATTGAAATGATTCTATTAAAATATCATCGACAACCTCGTATTGACCTTGATGGCGCGACCGTGCCCAATCTCGAAGACATGTGAGGACTTCAATCATTTGTGGTGTAAGTTTAGTCCTCCTTTCATTTAAAATTCTTCCACTTGCACTAAATGTTTGTTCGGATGAGACAGTTGAGATAGGAACAGCGAAAACATCCAAGGCAAGTCTTGATAATACCGGAAAAATACATTTTCTGGCTCTCCAATAGTCTAAGAGATCAATGTTGGCTCTCTGTTGTGGATCTACTGGTAACATTTCANTGCAATAATAATGATTTACGCGATATAGAATAAAATGCCTTTTATTGATTAATGAACATTATTACAAAGAGTCAATTCTACAATAATTGATTGGCTCTAGGGCATCTACTCTAACAACTTAATATGAGGTTGTCAAATAATCCATATAAAAAACAAGATTGCTTAAGCGATGCATCTCTCATTTAAACGATCCAATATATATAAGCCTTGATCGGTTAAGCAATAGCCCACATCGCTTAAGCGACCAAGGCTAATTTGTGTCTAAATAACCCTCAAGTACACAATCGCTTAAGCGATGCAACTCTCGCTTAAGCGATCCAACGTATATAAGCCTTGGTCGCTTAAGCGATAGCCTATATCGCTTAAGCGACCAAGGCTAATCTGTGTCAATAATCCTCAAGTATATAATCGCTTAAGCGATGCAGCATATATAAGCCTTGATCACTTAAACGATAGCCCACATCGCTTAAATGACCAAGGCTAATTTGTGTCTAAATAATCCTTAAGTACACGATCGCCTAAGCGATGTCAACTCTCGCTTAAGTGATCCAACATAGATAAGCCTTGATCGCTTATGTTGGATCGCTTAAGCGATAGCCCACATCGCTTAAGTGACCAAGGCTAATTTGTGTCTAAATAATCTTGAGTACACGATCGCTTAAGCGATGCAGCTCTCGCTTAAGCGATCCAATATATATAAGCCTTGATCGCTTAAGCGATAGCCCACATCGCTTAAGTGACCAAGGCTAATTTGTGTCTAAATAATCTTGAGTACACGATCGCTTAAGCGATGCAGCTCTCGCTTAAGCGATCCAATATATATAAGCCTTGATCGCTTAAGCGATAGCCCACATCGCTTAAGCGACCACGGCTAATTTGTGTCTATATAATCCTTAAGTACACGATCGCATAAGTGATGTTAGTTCTCGCTTAAGCGATCTAGTATAGACAAACCTTGGTTGCTTAAGCGATAGCCTTTATCGCTTAAGTGACCAAGGCTAATTTGATAATCTCATAAAGTACTCAGCAAAACCATTAAAATTGCTTTATGATTCACTAATAAAAATTGTTTTCTAATTCACTAATAAGTGTTCAACAAATTAAGAGAAAAACTGATAAAACAGCAGCCTAAAAATTTGTCAACCAAGATCCTCACTCACCAAACAATCAATTAAGAGAAAAACTAAGGAAATTATATTGATTAACAAGAAGCAAATACAATAAAGAAATCTGGAAAATGATAGTTCTAGCAGTTCCCTAAATAACAACCTGCCAAAACATGCATTTTGTCTCAACTAAATACACTTTTAGTCCCAACTCTAAAGATTCAATGGATCCTGCCAACCTTTTCTAACTAAATACACTTTCTGCTACTAAAAAAACATAGCCAAATATGTTCCATGCTTTTGTATCTCCACTAGCTTCAGATGCCTTCCTTTCTTTATCCCTTAATTGCTTCAAAGTTTTTGAACCATTAATAGACAAATCGCCAGACCTGCAAAAAAAGCAATGTCAAATTCCTCATCATGATAGACGAAAAAAGACATGAACCATGAGGCTTGGAAGGAGTATGCAACTAACTCTTGTTTGCTTGACAGGTTCTTGTTTCTTGCTGGCATTACATGCAATAATCTACCTTGCAAAATTGAATTATGTACTTCTACAATGGCCTTGCAACCAAAAATGTTATCAAATGACTAAAATAAAGAGGAAGAAAATCTACTATTGTTTGCTTGACAGATTCTTATTTCTTGCTGGCATAAAGTACAAGAGAGATGATGAAGGGTAAGCCTTACAAGGCTGGCTGTGCGTGGACAACCCTGTAATATGCAAGGCAAGCCCCCAGCCCCCCTATTCCACTCTCTTTGCCAACAAAAACCATCCAACTTGCCACAAACAACCTCCTTATGGCCTCCCTTTGCTTCCCTAGTCCTCTAGAAGCCCAAAACACCCACTCCTGTGATGCTCTCCAACTGCTCAACAAAATGCAACAATGACCTTAACAACAAACACCAACCAAATATCCCTAAATTAGCACCAACAACCAATAATTTCATAAAATATATAGATTATTACCTATTCTTCCTCTTCTTCCACCTCCTCGCTGGAATTTGTGATGGCGTCCTCCTCTTCATTTTCAATTTCGAATCTTGTCGTCCCTTCTTTTGTTGGCGGGATGTCTTCTGTTAGCGCCGTCTCTTCTACTGGCAGGGTATCCTTTGCCGGTGGAGCAACTTCAGTCATCGGAAGTTGCTCCACCGCAACCTCTTCTTCTCCATTTTTGGTAGACCTAGTGTTGCCTACAATTTGGGGAGTGGATGGGTTTTTTTCCCTTTTTTTGAGGATCTCAGCCATTGTAACTTAACCGGGAATGGCAAAGAATGGAAAAATTGCAAAGAGCAAAGAAATTGAGAAATAGTAGAAAATTGGAAGAAAAAATGAGAGAGAGGAAGGTGTGTGAATCGTGTTTTGAGAAAGAGAAACTGAGAGGAATGTGTTTTGTCTTTCAAATTTTAAACCAACTTCTTTTTATTATCTTTAACCCACAAACATTTAAATCTTTTCACTCTAACCCTTTTTGTTGCTTTAATTCCGCTTAAGTGTGTCAGGTCAGATTTTTAAAACAACAACAAAAAAAAAAAAAAAAAAAAAAAATCAAAAACCTTTTCATGGTTATATTCTCAATTTGAAACTTGGGAAAGCATATCAGTTAAATTTCCTCCAGAATTGAAGCCTAGCCTGTTTAGTTGCTGATTAGTTGGTGTTCTCTAATTTTGAATGGCTTCTTGGAAGCTGCTCTTCCAGAACCCTACTCCTGCAGTATCAAGTTCATTTTGCTTATGCTGTAGTATCAAGTTCTTTTGCTTGGATTGAATTCAGTTTTGCTCAGATTTTTTGTGCCTTACTTGAGTATCAAGTTCTTTTGCTTGGTTGAATTCAGTTTTGCTCAGGATTACTTGTGCCTTACTTGAGGTTACTTCAGCTACGAATTGCTTTAGCTTTATGTGGTTGATTCAAATTGGAAGCTGCTCCTACAGAATTATGCTCAGTTTATTTGGTTGACTTAAATTACTCGGTTAAAAGCTGTCTCTGCACTATAGTTACTTGTTGAACTATTGCTTCAGCCACGAATTGCTCAGTTCCACTGAAGGATGTTGTTCATCACCCAAGTCCAGTTTACGGTAGGATATTAGCAAGAGTTGGTGTAGTCCAAAGTTGTTCTGTCTACAGAAGGATGTTAACAAATGTTAAATGTAGTTTAGAGTAGTCCAGTTTAAGGGAGGATGTTAGTAAGAGTTAGAAAATGATTAGTTAAGTAACCTATAGACTGAGTTAGTTAGCTACTGTTATGTGTTAGCTACTGTTATGAGCACTATAAAAAGTGCACTTACTGTACAAAACAAAGTAATTAAAACGCGAATTTTTCAGAACCTTCTCTTTGTTTTTCTCTCTGTTTTCTCTCAAAACTCTCAATATTCAAGTAAAGTCAGACTAAAATAGGTGCACAACGGCAACAAGAATTTTGAGCTGCCGAGAATGACACCTTTAACAATCAACATTCCTGTTCTGGAATAGATATACCACTACAACGGACTTTACACCTAGGATTATAGATTGTACAATAGCAAAAGCCACCCACTGAGAGTATTATTTATACCACCTTCTTCAAAATCCTCTACGCATAATAATACTGCCTTCTTCAAAATCCTCTACGCATAGCATCAAAATGGTTGAAATTTAGTAACAAAAGTGTTGGCGAGAGCATGAAATAACTATTTATATTACTAATTTTGAACCCCAGCTCATCCAAAAAATTGGAGTAAATGCCTCATGGATATGGGTTGAGAAGACTCATGCTTCAAAACTAAGCTCAATACAATACAAAACGCTCTAGCAACTTAAGTTTATAATTCTAACTAGCTCTAATAATTAAAGAAACTTTTGAAGCAAGCCATGATACAGTAGTACTCCCCATTGAATAATATTTTAAAAACCAGTTAAACAAACCACTTCAATTTTTGAAAAGGCATTGCTTCCTCTAAATGATTTACGAGAAGGGCACACCAAGCATCAGTAAAGAGGATATCAAATGTATGGGGATGTCTCGGCCACACGTTTAATGCTGCATTTTCCTCCACACATTCTTTCAACTATGCTTCACTGTATCCCTGTTAAAGCAAACATCTCAAGCAATCAGAATTGGTCTAGGACACAACAAGTGCACTCAGAATTGGTCTAGGACATGACAAGAAACATCATATCCAAAACGGTGTAGTCACCCTCAAACCACTAGGAGAAAAGAAGAATTACAACTGTTCAGTATAACAAATGCTTCACAATAGGAAGACCACTAGTAAATACTGCAACACTTGAGACCTTTTTTTTTTTTTTAAAATCAGATGTCAAATAAACTAGATATTATCATGTCTTGCCAATAACAACCTCATTGATGCAGCCATAAACTAAGACAACTGTGCCATAAAAGACTTGATTACAGAAAATTCATGTGCTAAACGGCCTGAAATTCAGAGCAAGCCATCTCCTAATTGGGGGATAATTCTCCTCTTCAAGATAATCAACTATTTCTATAAAATGCAAGGCCAAATTGGGACACCAGTCCAAACAAAGGGAACTCCCTATATTGCATTGATCTTCAAACTTTGGGCAGGCATTTACAAGGGGTAACCAAATTATAAGATAAAAAATAAATTAATTGCATGATATAAGAAATAAATTAACTGCATTCTCGATTTGAGAACAGAGCTTTCTTGAAATCCAGTTGAATGCATGGGAAAGCTCACATCTAACTTGTTTGTTCTTGCATCATCATCTTGCAAAGTTGAATATATATCAAAGATAGCATCCAGACCAGACCTCTTATGATCATCACAATACAAAGAATTAGGGTTTTCAAGCCAACTCAAAATGTCAAATTAAGAACAAAAGAAGAAGAAGGAAAGAAAGAAAAGGGGGAGGAAATTATATTTAATAGGTCTTCAAGTTCAATCAGGACAAATGGCTTTTACAACTTGCAACTTCTTGCAGAAAAAACAAAATTGAAACAACAAGAATCAGGGTTTCAAGCCAACTAAAAGAAAATAATTTAAAAATCAAATTAAGAACAAAAGAAAAGAAGAATGGGAGGAAATAACATTNGACCTTTCTTGAAATCCAGTTAAATGCATGGGAAAGCTCACATCTAACTTGTTTGTTCTTGCATCATCATCTTGCAAAGTTGAATATATATCAAAGATAGCATCCAGACCAGACCTCTTATGATCATCACAATACAAAGAATTAGGGTTTTCAAGCCAACTCAAAATGTCAAATTAAGAACAAAAGAAGAAGGAAAAAAGAAAAGGGGGAATTATATTTAATAGGTCTTCAAGTTCAATCAGGACAAATGGCTTTTACAACTTGCAACTTCTTGCAGAAAAACAAATTGAAACAACAAGAATTAGGGTTTCAAGCCAACTAAAAGAAAATAATTTAAAAATCAAATTAAGAACAAAAGAAAAGAAGAATGGGAGGAAATAACATTAAATAGGTCTTCAAGATCGATCAGGGCTAGCGAATTATACGATTTGCAACCTCCTGCAGAATAAACTACAAAATTGAAAAACCAAGAATTAGGGTTTTCAAGCCAACAATTAAGAACAAAAAAATGAAAGAAAAGAAAAGAAAAGAGAGAGGAAATTACGTTAAATGGGTCTTAAATATTGATCAGGATTGGCAAATTTTACAATTTTCAACTTCTTGCAGAATAACAAACAGCAAGAATTAGGGTTTCAAAACAAAATAAACTTAAAGTCAAATTAAGAACAAAACAAAAATGAAAGAAAGAAAGAAAAGAGAGGAAATTACGCTTAAACAGGTCTTCAAGATCAATTGAAGAAATGAGGAAAATAGTTTTATATGCGTCTAAGTCACAATGAAAGAGAAAGGAAGAGAAGAAATGAAGAGAGGAAATGGTGCCAGGAGACAGCGCAATTTGAATTGTCAATTAACGGTAAAATGATTAATGTTGATAAATAATGAATATATTAATAAATGAGGGATTAACGATCAAGAATAACATTTCGAGTAACATTTTTTTTTTTTATCACCAAAGAAAGCCTCCCTAAAAACAATTCTCATCAAAATTGCCTTCTAACACAAAAGGTCTTCAGTTTTCTCTCCGTCCAAACAAATTTCTCACCCATCATAGAAAACTTTACAAATTCTCTTCCACCCAAAACTAAGAATCAATTACAAATCAACAACCACCACATAATTAAAACCATTCACCGAAATTCATCACAAAATCCATTAAGCTATTTTCAAATCCATAAAGTCTACAGAGAGTATCAAATCTACTGTCACAAGAATCTCTAAGAGATCTGCTCACGACGGCGCCACAGGAGCCGAGATTTGCTCACGGTGGCGCCACTATTGTCTAGATCGCGAGCTGCTACATTGATGGCTGTCGGAGCTGCTGTAGCAGTGGCCATGGAGATGTTGCGACAATGGGATTGCAAACTTTTGTTATGGCTTTGGTTCGGATCTGAGAAAGAGAACATTAAGGAAAGAAAGAACTAAGAATGAAAGGGAAAAAATAGGAAAGAAAGAGAAGAAAATGAGAAAGAAAACTCATCAGGAAAGAAAGAGGAGAGAATGAGAGAAGAAGAACGGAAAAGAAAACATGTGGCTTTCATTCAGCCTTACAATTTCAATTTTAAATTTTGGTTTTTGTATGTAACATTCTTCTCCATAATAATAGACATGGGAAAAAAATAATTACATAATGGTGATAAGATAAAAGGCGCATGACGCCACCTCAGCAAGTCAAGAACCATGCAATGAGCATGGCAGCATAAGTTCCACATGGCGAAACCAAAGATGAGTCAATATTCCCTATCATTGAAATTCGTTATAGAGTCTAACGACATTCCACACAAAATCTTCCTCTAAAAAATCCCAACAAACAACTCTAAAAAGCAAACAATAGGTGCTTTTACATTTTACATTGTGGAAATAGTTTTTGTTGTGGCAGATTTGAAAAAAGAAAAATGTTGGGAGAAGAATGGAGGAAGAAAAATGAGGGGGAAAAAGCCAAAAAAAAAAAAAGGTGGGGGCGGGCCTGGGAAAGAAGAAAATGTAGGCAAGATAGAACAAAAGAAAAAGAAGGGGTACCCTCATATATCCCAACTCGTGCTTGTGACTGGGATGTCAGGGAATCCCCAGGCCAAGCCCGGCTTAGCCCCGAGGATGTGGTTACTCCCATCCCCGGCCCAACCCACCCTGTCCCGGATTCAGATTGTTAAATTAGCCTAATTTTGAATTAGTTGAAGCCCATTTGAATTTGAGCCCAGCAGCAACAAACAAGTCATAGCAATTTCTGATCAACTTGACTTTCAAAGATAGGCGTTCGTTAGTTCATCAATTCTTCCTGCAATCTCATTTTTTTTTCTTTATTTTTACAGTTTGGAGTTGCAAATTTTCATTTGATCATCCATGACTTATTATCAAGTGTGTAACTTCAATCGATTTTATTTTCTTTTTTTACTTGGAAATTTAATTTCTTAAGGTAGATTTAATCGTGTGAAAATTAAGAAATAAAAGTTATCTAAATATTTTAATGTGGCAAATGAATATACAGTCCTTGACCAACTATTTGTATTGACTATTGATTAGGATAAAATTTCAAAGAATAATATATGCAGAAAATCTCACCAAATTATTAAAAAATAAAAAAAGGACCCAAATTCATATGAGGAGAATCTCACCAAATTATTTAATATATGACAGAAATATTTATATGTAGAGAATCTCAGCAAATTATGTTTTTAATAACGTTACCACGCGATTCATCAATATAAATATGAGATTGCTTCACCAAATCCAATAAAAGATGATGATATCATCCCATTAAAACAGTCCCACATTTAAGAGAGTTTCAATAACTATTGCTTCAGTGAATGATTTTGTTAATTGAATATAAAGTATGAGATTTTTTTGTATATTTGTTTTTTTAGATTAATTGCATGATAGATGGATATGTAGATGATAGTGATGTGCAATGGGAGCGGCGAAACAACCCTTCTGTCAATTTCCCAAAAAGATTTCTTATTGTCATTCTTTCTTATCTAGGATCAGCAATGATACAGATGATAATAATGCGGGCCCGGGACGAGGGGGATATGACCCACTTCCTCGAGGCGGAATGTCATTGGACATGGGCTCTCTGGCCCTGACAGTTTTGGGGAATCCTTGCACTATTGGATCGAGGCGGGTAAATGTCCTCCCTAAACAGAGGTTAATGGTGTTTATGCCATCTCCAACCTATTGTTTCAAATTGTTGTAAGTTTTACATCAAATTTATGTGATTTTTGATGTAAATATTATTATATTTTTAATTTATTATATAAATATTATATTAAAAGAAATTTTTTAGAATATTATCTTTCTTTTTCTTTTGTTGATAAGCAACAATTAATCTATTTCAATCATATTTTTGTAATATTAATTAAATATGAGAATGATATTTTTATTAAATAATAATTACTTTGAAAATTAACTAATTTAAAAAGTTAGCATTTATTTAATTAAATAATATATATTAATATAGAAAAATATTATATATAATATAAAATGATATAAAAAAAAAAAAAAAACAACACAAAAGTAAAATTCCATATTATAGTAATTTAATTTTCTGAATTAGTATATTCTTTCCACAAATGATCAATTAATGCATTTCAAAGAGCATGGTGAGCCTCTGTGTTCTTGATTTGTCTATGTCGAGCAAGAAAATTTTGAAATCGAACATTTTCATCAACGACATTTCAACTTCGGAGTTGGCGCTTCCATCTGATTCTCAATCGATGCATCAACATTACGATCATCCTCGATTATCATGTTGTGCATAATAATACACGCAGTCATTATATCAGTAATACATTTTTATCCCAAAAACGTGTCGGTCCTGCCACAATTGCAAACCGCATTGAAGAACTCCAAACACACGTTCCACATCTTTTCTACATCCTTCTTGTTTTATTGCAAAAAAAAAAAAAAAAAAAAAAAAAATTTGGGACCACGGGATTGTAAATAGCTTGTACGAGAGTAGACCACTTTGGGTATATACATCAGCAAATAATAACCCATATTCTAATCTTTTCCTTGAATGCTATAATGAGCAGGAGAGCAATACATTAGTTAGGTTGGCAAACAAATGAGATGCCTCCAATACATTAATGTCAGTTGGAACCTGGCAAACCAAAAAATGCATGTTATATCCAAAGATCATAATTAGTTACAACCTCAAGAATAATAGTTGGAGATCCACTACGACCAGCATATTGTCCTGCCTAACTGTTGACAATTTTTTCACTTCCTTGCATACAATCAAAACTACCCAACATTCCTGGAAAACCACGTTTTTCACCAATATAAAGTAGCCTTGCCACTCATTAGCATTAGGTGATCTTAGATATCGTTCTGCAAATACCTCAACAACAGCACGACAAAATCTTTTCAAACTTTCAATGGTTGTAGACTCGCCTATTTTAATATACTCATTAGTAGCATCTGCTGGTAGACCATACGCCAACATTCGGAATACAACTGTTATTTTTGAAAAGCAGACAATCTGAGCCTACGAGCCATCCTTCATTGTACAAAGTAGTTATCATGACCTTTTACATGATCACATACAATAGAATAAATTCGAGACATTCAAAATCGTCGGTGAATATGGAATCATTAAACCGTGGATTCTTGGCAAAATAATCGTTTGAACAGATTGCAATCACATGTTCCTGGTTGCGATTGGTGACTCTATGACCAGGAATTGATCCTTTACAGATCACCTGGTTGTTCTGTTGATTGAGATAGTGAAGAATATGAGGTTGTTGTAGCTCTCATGCGAAGGATTGCTCTTGCTCTACATCAATTGCTTCAAGATCATTCATCAATTTCTCGCATCAATTTCATTGTCGGAAAATGATGACGAATTAGAAGATGATAATGAGATGGACCTCCAAAATTGAAATTCATCTTTGTAGATATATTAGTTGAATGATTTGGTGTGAGCTTTTATAGTTGAAAAAATATATTCTAGATAAAAAATAATAATTCAAAAGATGTATTTATATATTCAAGCTTTTGAGATTTGTGGTATTCAAAAAGATTTATTGTCCATTCAAGCTTTTGAGATTTGTGGCTTATTCAAAAGATGTATTGTCCATTCAAGCTTTTGAGATTTGTGGTTTATTAAAAAGATGTATTGTCCATTCAAGCTTTTGAAATTTGTGGCTAATTCAAAAAATGTATTATCCTTCAAGCTTTTTAGATTTATAACTCCCACTTCAAAGTCTCTCCAATCGGTTTCTTGTGACATGTCGTCATATTCTCTAACATAAATGATGAAGATATTGGGGTAGTTCAACTGAATGACCCATTGGGGTGAAGAAACCAAAATTAAAAAGGAAAATGATGAAGAAGTTTCAAACAGTATTGAAACTATTCAAGAAGAAAATCGATAACTCGCTGCTATTTTCAATCGAGGCAACTCAAATATCATTCACAATATTTAATTAATATTATATATTATATATATAATATATATATATATATATATATATATATATATATATATATATAATAAGAATAAATAGATTAATTGTTGGCTATTACATAAAAGAAAAGAAAGAGAATATTATAAAGAATATTCTTTTTAGTGTAATATTTGGTAATGGGTTGGAGATGCAATAGTGTTTTACCACCAAAAATCACACCAATTTGGTGTGAAAGTTGCACCAATTTGGTGCAATGGGTTGGAGATGGTCTTAGGATTTTAGGGGGTAACTGATTAATTTCTTAAATGATTGGGGTTGAATTGATTAAAATGGTAATAGTTACCCAAACATTTCCCAAAACTATATGGGGCTAATTGATTTTTACTCATACAAAAAATGTTGTTGCGGCCTTGAGTGTGGAAAGCGGAATTTTATATATTTTGCACCACGTGGGTAACCATTATATTTTAGCCAAAGGGTAAAAAAATTAATTTTAATACTTGACAAAAATTTGTTAGAAAATATTAACAGAATAGGGCATATCCTCCTATTTTTCATATGTATGGTAGCATCATAAATCGACAAAACTGGGGGGTTTATACAATTGTTCCTTTTGACAGATAAACAAATCATTGGACTATTACGTATCTTCTTAATTAAAAGCACTGTAATTATTTTTACCTTTTATTTATGACTATTTGATGTTATCTTTTAGAATATATATAATATGAAAGATAATGTACAAGTATTTTTTGCATTGCATGCACTGGCGGAGATAGCGTTTTGAAATTTTTTTATTGTATAACACCCAAATTATTATTATTTTTTTTAATTTGATAAAACAATTACCAAATACATAATTTTATATTTTTGAAATATCCTTCCCTCTATTTCTTTGTCAAAATGAATTTTTAAATTTCATTTTATTATTTAAGTTTCAATCTATAAACTGCCTTTATATTAAATTTTAAGTTCTTTAGTTACGCTTTTATTTAATTTTTAATTTTTTTGATATTTCATTATTATACTACTGAAATTTGAATATAAATATGTATTGAACAGATTTTCATATTAAATATAATTGAAGTTGATCTTAATTGTATACCTAGATATAGAAAGATTTAATTGATGACAAATTAGCATATAATGCTGCTAGAATGTTATGAAAAATATATTTAATAAAAATGTTATAAAAGAATATTTCTTAATGTTTATTACTTTTGCTGCTTAACTTTTAGTCCAGAATTTGCTCTTTATTTTGCTGTAATTTCCTGGCTGCTGGATGTTTATTGGCATGGCTGATATTTATAGTATACTTCTAGTTTTAAAGAAGGATCGATACCCAAACCTCATAAAGAAAGAAGTATTAAAATGAAATATTCGAGTCTAGTCAAAATTGGTATAACTAGTTCTAAAATTAATTGAAACGAAATATTGAAGTCTAATCAAAATTAGTATAATTAGTGCGGTTGTGACATTTTGTTCTTTTTTTCTGCATTAAGGACCAATTAAAATCACATGCACCAAATGCCAGGAAATGATGGTTAAATTAATTATAAAACATAAAACAGAAGATAAAAGTTAAAATTAAAATTAAAATACTTGTAATAATCTAAAATATAACAACGATTATCTAAAGCTTAAGANTTAAAATGAAATATTCGAGTCTAGTCAAAATTGGTATAACTAGTTCTAAAATTAATTGAAACGAAATATTGAAGTCTAATCAAAATTAGTATAATTAGTGCGGTTGTGACATTTTGTTCTTTTTTTTCTGCATTAAGGACCAATTAAAATCACATGCACCAAATGCCAGGAAATGAAGGTTAAATTAATTATAAAACATAAAACAGAAGATAAAAGTTAAAATTAAAATTAAAATACTTGTAATAATCTAAAATATAACAACGATTATCTAAAGCTTAAGAGACAAATCAAGTCCTCATCAATGATGAATCCTGACTATCATTATTTAGTAATAATGGAAATAGTTTCCCTTGCATAGTCACCATTTATGAGAGAGGCTTTTTTTCTTTGCATAATGCTTGAACCCACCAAAGTTGTAAATCAAAGAAAGCAAGTCCTAAGAATAACAATCAAAATATATACTTTTAACAAAAATAAATTATCTAAAGCTTGAGAGATAAATCAAGTTTTGATGAATGATCGTCCTTATGATCACTTTGTAATGGACTCTCTCCCTTCAGAGAGTCACCACTAGTGGGAGGTTTATTCGCCGCAATGCTTGAACCCTTTTGAGCCTGCATCAAACCCTGCTGCCTGCGATTTTCGTAATCTAGCCTTGAATTCATCAAGACTTGTCCATTGCCAAATCGATCCCGGAGTGGGACCCATGGAAAAACCGCCGCCGCTGGCCTTCGAATCCTCGGAGACTGCACACTAACCCCAAGAGATGATCTATTATAGGATCCATAAAGAGGAACTTGATGGTTTAAAGTTGAAAAAGGATAATAAGAGAAATGATGATGATGCCCTAAAGCACCCATGTCCATCTCCTTACGTCGTTTCGCTATTGCACGCTCTTGTTTATGTGCATTTTGATGTCCCCCCAAGGCCTGTGATGTGGAAAAGTTTTTGTTGCAAAAGTTGCACGAGAAGCCTCTTTGTTTTGGTTGCTTTTTGTTACGTATGGTTGATAACAACTCGTTGGCTTGAAATGAAGAACCAACGCTAAAGAGTTTTAGTTCGACTTCAGATCCACTAATTGAATCATCTTTAGCATTAGCCTTTTGATTAAACAAAAGATCAAAATCTGATTTGGGTTGGTTTGGTTCAGGTGATTCTTTTTCATGAGAAGAAGCTGAGTTGATGGAGATCTCTGAAGGGGATGGTTTCTTAGAAATTAGGGTTGCCATGGCATCAAGATTTGAGTTTGGAAGAGGTACATGAAAGAGATGTATTTATTGAGTATTGGATTTTCAATTATGGAAGGAAATTATGAAATCACAACTCACAAGAGGTTTTCAAATTTAAACATGTGAAAAATTAATGTTAAGACATCATCACAGGGATTGTACTTGAGTATTAATGATTAGAAGATTGTATATTATCTCAATTGGAAAGTAAAATAATAAAGACATTGATCTCGACCTCCATCAGGTCTATTCAAATTACAAGTCTGGCCATTTTGAGATTTTACAAATAATAAAAATCTCTTTATTGTTAGTTAGCGTTAAAAATTTATGACATCATGGGTTAGTGAATATATACTTAATTAACCCTTTATCGTTTATTTTGACACCAAAAAATTTAAGGGTAGGGAGATTTCTATTATTTCTCTAACTACTAGGAGATTTTTGTTACTTAATTATACTTGAGGGGGATTTTTTTATTAACCCTTTTTCAAATTGTTGAGTTTGATAGTTTAAGCAACCAACCAGAAAAATAATATTGCCTTTAATGGGAAAATTTAGATTCAATTGTTAACTTTCGATATAAATATGAATTCGAAAAGGTATGTGAAAGAGATCCATGTTGTACATTGACTATTCTATTTTCAATTATGGAAGGAAATCATGTTGCGTGATTATATAATTTAAAATTAATGGTAAATTATACAAGTGTTGAGTTATAAAATGCTGTTCATCTCAATTATTCCGAATATATCATGATTTAATATGGTTATTACCAAATGAATAGTCAACATTCTAGAATTATTACCAAATGAATAGTCAACATTCTAGAATTATTACCAAATCAATAATCAAAATCTAGAAAGAGAGACTTGATTTCGACACATGCACAATACATTGTATCTCAAACTCCTATTTAATGAGTTAATCGCGGGTCAGATTGAAGTCTTAACTCTGCAACGGTTATCTTTATTGAAAAATGCTATATTCACCGAAAAAATTGTACCGAAATAGGTGGAGCTTCTTTTCTCTGCCAGGTGGAGCTTTCGCACAACCCATGTATAATTTGTACATAAATAGTATGCCATATTCTTTACTAGTTTTTAGAAAAAAGAAAAAAAAAAAAAAAAAGGAAAAGGAAAAGTCAAAAAGAGTTGGCGACATGTTCCCAGCCAAAAGAAAAAAGAGTTAATTAAGTATGGACACTCGTCCATTAAATATGGACAGCCGTCCATACTTAATGGACGATCGTCCATTTCTTATGGATGGATGTCCATTAGAGTAGGGACGTTCGTCCATTCTTTATGGACGGGCGTCCATTAGAGTAGGGACGCTCGTCCATTTCTTATGGACCGGCGTCCATTCTAGATTTTTTTTAAATTTTTTATTTTTTTTCCATACTTATTTTTTTTTCCATACTTAATGGACGGTCGTCCATTCCTTATGGACGGGCGTCCATTAGAGTAGGGACGCCTGTCCATTCCTTATGGACGCCCGTCCATTCCAGAATTTTTTTAAAATTTTTATATTTAAAAAAAAAATTAATAACGTTAAATGCTTGAATGGTCTAAGTCAGGAGACACGTAGGCCGGTACAAAATTTCGGTGTAAAAATCCCGATGTCTGTAGCATTGTTGATCTTTATTAATGATAATAAATATAATATGCTAAATCGAAAGGTTAAGAAAAATATTTAAATTTTCCTTTGTTTCACTGCCAGTTACCAAAATTTGACTGAAAAAGGATAAAGTTAAATAATTTTTCATTATAAGTAGAAATACAATTGTTGGAAATTTACATTGAATTTCACAATGGTGTGTGATAACAGTGATACGAATATTATTGACACATCCTTAAAGACAGAAACTAGGTGTTGTTCATGACCTCTTTCCATCAGTCAAAGTTAATAATTAATACCTTAATTATCCTTGTTGTCTCTAATGAATCCTCCTTCCACCCCAGAGTCTGGCATCCTCTCCCACCATCACAACCATCATACTCATCAACACCAGAACTACCACAAGCACTATCATGAATGAATCAATAAAATTCATGTCAAACAACGAAGAAACTCCTTTGCCCACCACATCACACTACTCATTTCTGTAATAAATGAATAAAATTGCTAGTATTCATATTACAATACTGTATTAATTAAAGTTTTTTAATTACTTTACTGAATCAAATATCCAAGGTTTTGAATAAACAATTATTTATATAAAGTTTTTCATTTATGGGAGACAGGTCTTCAGTTGTGTTGTTGGTTTCAGTTGAGAGTGAGGAGCCTCAATATCATGAAGGTGCTAAATTTGCACAAACATATTGTTCGTTTTATGGGGGCCGGCCAATAATTTCCCTTATGACTCGCACTATGGGGGCCTGCTTAATCGCCTAACCCATTGATGTGCTTACATACNAATAAAACCAACTTAGTAAACCCTAACCATCTCATTTACTTGATCCCCACACAGAATTTATTCATCAAAACAACTTTCAATAGTTCAGTTTGAGCCCTCAACATAAAACCAGATCTGAAATTAAAATTTTCAAAAGCATAATATCAAATTCTGAGATACTTACTCTACTTAGGCACTATTAAAACACTATACCCAGTAACCAAATCTAGAAACTTCAATAAAAAAATAATAAATTCTCCAATGCCGCGGTTCATGGAATTCAAAGCTTTACAACAAGAAACGTCTATTTCCAAACGAAGTAGAAAAATTTTAAAAACATAAATAAATACGAATTTGTGTACCCTTTTCTTTGCAAAAAAAATATCCCGGAAAAAGAAAACATAAGAGACACTTTACAGAAGAAAAATTACCAAGTGGCGCGGCGGCGGTTCCCGGTGGCGACGGTGGACAGGGCTGAACAGGAGTGACGGCAGCAAGTGAATTAGAGTGAAGAATGAAGAGGGTAAGTAGGGTTCGTTTATGTTCCCAAAAACGACGTAGTGTGACAAATTTTCTTTTCTTTTCTTTTTTAATTTTTTTTTTTTTTTTAATGGGCTGGGCCTAAAGTGATCTTTTACAGTTAAACCCCAATTTTAAGTATGCTCTATTATTAAAAAGCATATGGGTTAACAATTAATACCCCGAGGTATCATATAATAACAAGTATCTTTTTTAGGTTTCTAAAATAATAGAAATTTTCTTATCGTTAATGAATTGTTAGGGAGTGGTAAAACTTTACACTATATGGGGCCGTTTGGATCTGGGGTACATAAGATAACAGGGGTAATCTTCATTTATTTTGCAAGATTTCGGTGTTAGATTTGCAAGTAAAAAAATATTATGGTAATCTTTTATTGCAAATAGTCTTTACTGTTGGTAATGTGAGAGGTAATCTTATTATCTTATTAGGGGGTGTTATTAAAACATTATCGAGGTAATCTAACTTTTTAACCCATTTTGCCCTTAATTAAAAACCATCTCGGACAGTCCTCAAATGTCTACCAAATAACAATTCCCTAGCCCCCCTACATTTGAGAAATTAGCTAAAACATCCAAGCCACAAAAAAGTTTAAACGTTAACAAAATACCCTCACTCACCTAAGACCACCGTCGGTCGTGACTCACCATCGCCGACCGCCGGTAAGGCCTTTTCCAGCCATGGATCTAATCTGACGTTTCTATGACCATTTCACGGTTAAAGATGTGGCTGTGAAATAGCCATAGATCTGGCTGTTTTCTGGCCATTCTAACTTTATCGGCGCACGATTGGCCATATATGGCCAGTCGTGCGCCATTTTGTCAATTGCCAGTGGCGACCGGCGGTGGTAGTTGGTTGCCGGCAATGGCTTGGGGTGGATGGGGGTGATTTTGCTACAAATTAAGGTTTTATATGGTTGGGGTTGTTTTAGCAAAATTTCAAATGTATGGGGTTAAAAAAGTGGTTCAAAAAATAATAATAAAAAATACTATTATATTAATATTTAAAAAGGAGGTCAATTTAGTAATCTATGTAACATATTTACCCATTTATCCTCCCAATCAAACATATTATTCACCAATTTATTTGAACCAACCAAACATATTTTCTAAATATTCCTAGTAATCTTCAAGGTGATCTTTTTTTCCGTTAATATAATATTCCCCTATAATAAAACATTATACGATTCAAACAGCCCCTATGAGTTAATAAATATTACCAAATTGCCCTTTCACTGTTTATTTTAATGCTTAAAACTTAATAATAAGAAAACTTGTGATATGTTATTTTGAAAATTTCAAGAAGATTTTTGTTGTTATACCAATACCTTGAGGAGAATAATGTCATTAATTCTTATTAAAATTTTAGGAGTTATTATGAGAATTTTTGAGTAATTTTTAAATGCAATCTTTACTTTTTAATTTCAAACTATATGTTACATATAATGACATATCATCACTTCGAGCGATTGTTTTTGAAAAAAAAATTGATGAAAAATCGTTTTTGGAAAAAAAATTGCTGAAAAATCGTTTTTGAAAGTAATTTTTGTTATGCTCAATATTAAATTATATATTATTTTTATTGTATTTTCTATCAAAAAAAAAAGTATTATTAACATGTTCAATTTGTATTGGGTTACTTTTTAAATTAACATTTAAACTTTTAATTAGAGTAATAAACTAAAAATAGCTCTTTTAATATTAAAAACATTTTTCATTTATTTGTTTTAGTTTATCCTGTGTAGTTCTAACATGTACAACTCTTTTAATTATTTTTGGGGAATTATTTAATAATTTTTTTTTCAAACAAACCCCTCATATCATCCGTCATCACCCTTATGCAAAAATTTACTACTTTTATCGTTTGAATTGTTTTGCCGGATCAATGTTCAAGACCTTTAGTCTCAACTTAGAATTGATTAAAAAAAAAAACGAACCACTTTTACGGGATTAGTGGAAAAGATATAGTTCACAGCTATAGATGACAATGGGTCGGGCCGAGACTGGGTACACCTTGGCTCGGGTCCGACCCCATGATCTTGGCCTGTGCCTAGACTTAGCAAAGTGCTAC